GTGCATGTGGAAAGGGCAATTAACAAAATTAAAAATTTCCACATTTGGGACAGGGTAATCCCTATTAATCTATTCGGTACGGTTAACCAGATGTGGTCAGTTTGTGCAATGTTATGTAACCTTCAAAATCCAATTATTAGTGCTTAACTTATACCTGCAGATATAAATATCAGGAAAGGTCCACTGTTAACGTGGTCTTTGTATTTTCATCCACATTTACTTATGTAATGTACCAAAAATATCAGGAAAGGTTCACTGTTAACGTGGTCTTTACTAATATGTAATGTACATACACTTCAAAATGAACCAAAACTACAGTTATTGTCCAATGTGTAATTAAATATAATGACAGAAAATGTTGTGTATCAAATTTGTCTTATGCTACATGTAAAAACCATCAGTGCTAACCAATGCATCAAAATGAATAATGTGCTAGCTTTTGATTTGTGGGCTAATATTATTTTTGGAATGTATGGGATTTTGGATGCTAGTCCTTTGTTGGAGTACAAACACAAAATACTGTGCTACTTGAAGAAAAAGGTAGGTACATGTACTGTATACTAATGAAACTAGAAAAGTCAGGATTTTGCAGCAACAGTGAGAAAGTATTTGAAATAGAATTGACATAGATTACTCCTTAATTCATTCCAGTGCTGCGCATCAAACAGAATCCTGTGAATTGCCAAGCCTTTTCTGGTATATACTATAAAGTCACACCATGATGCCCCAGTTACGCCCATTTGACCTTGAACCTGATCATAATATCCATGATTTTTTTTCAACTTTAGAATTCCATTGTCATTGTCCAAACAAAAATTGGGATCGGAACATGCCTCCAGTGGACTGACAGAAAATTTTGAATGTGGACACTTGACTTCAGCTAATCCAAATTCCTCCCTACAGGTTGGGTCGACTATTCTGGCATCTGGTGTACAACCTAATACAAATAATTTCTCTGAAATACAGAAACCACTTTTTAGAACTTTAACTGGCCTTCCAGTTTTTGACATGTAACTACTATATTCCCTTAGAGCAACGCTCTCATACTTCAAGCCATGCCTTGTACTTTCAGATGTAAATAGTTTTGGTGATATCAAATCCTGTGCTAGCTTTTCATTATTTCTTTTTCTTATTTTCACTCTATGAAAATCTGAAGCTGTAATACGGAATTTTCATCCCTCCACATTTGTGAATCACTCTGCTTTCTTGTGTGTTCTTCTATTGTTTCTGTTTCTTTGTGATCTACCTTTAAAAGAAGTTAATTATGAGACAAGTCAGAAACAATCTGATAAAGTACAATCAAGTACAGATAATACATACAGTAGTACTTTATGCGGCAAATTGTGTTTGTGTTTGTTGTACTCTATTTAAAATAGAATTCCATATTGTAATTAAGAGTTATCTAAACCATTAAAGCACCTACAGTATTTTTAGTTCACTGTTAGGCAATAGCCAAACATGTTTTTGCACATTAACACTAAACACTGTACTTATTTTGTACAGTGATGGGCATCACTGTTTATACAGAAATAATATTTAAAATGAATTAATTGAAACAAAAGGTTTCAATTAACAAGATTTGTACATTATGATAAATTTTGTTCAAAGAAGCAAAAAAGAAATTATATTATTAAGCTTACCTTCAGACTGTTCAGCTTGGTTAATTCAATGTTATTTAAATTAGTTGGTATTGGCAAATGAAAGCTCTCATTAAAGTCACTCAAAGGGAAAGGAGGATAAACAGGAAAATTTGCTGTAGTATCAATATCTCTTCGTTGAACTGTATCAATACCAGACACCCAAACTTTAAAGTTCGATTCTGTATAGCCAAGCTGGTATGACCCATACGAACCTCTCGGGCACATCCCATACTGGGTTTCCACATTGGGTACTGGGTTACTCCCAACCTGTACAAGCCCAAGTTTTGGGTCAATTTTCTTGAGAGAGTCCAAAAATGTATCTAAATGATCACTGAAATTGCTGTCATTTTTCCTTGCTTCATAGAGTTGAGAAGTAATTCCTTGACTTTGTTTTTTACTGTCAGAGCGAGTTTTTGAAGCAGTAACTTCCATGACAGGTAATGCATGCACCCCTTCGTCTCTAGGTTTGTTCCACTGTTGTAAAGTGGAAGTACAAATGGGTGTTGGTCTTTCATCGTCCTCGTTTCTTAGAGTTTTTACATCTGAACACCCATACAGCGAATATTTACAAACTTTCAGCATTAATGCCAACATATGGTTGCAGAAACCGGACTTGCCTGCTGCGCATGTTGGGCCACAGTAAGCATATTCTACGTCCCCTGAGACAATACATAGTGCCAGTTTGAGCTCATGGGGCTGCTCATTAACTTTAAAACTATGAAAACATTTCGCTTTGAAAAAAAAGTATCTTTGATCAGAGTTTGTTTCAATGTTATGCAAGTACTCATCTTTAAGATAACTAGTCGCCCTCGTCATGCCAGTGGGCACAGAGTGGTTAACAGCTTGGGCGACGTTTTTGCCCGACTTGGCAATATGTCGATCGACTTCTGCACGTGTAAATAGGGGTGATTTTTCTAAGGACAAATTCCAACCAGTGGTTGGGAAGACTACCTTTTTTGAAACAGATACATCGTTTTCGTTTAAAGAACAATCAGTCACCAGAGAGCTTGAATTTGAAGGCTGCAGTCGATTGATCTTTCTTCGAGTGTAAATTTTATTTTGGTCTGGATCACAAATATAGCCTTCCAGTCCGCGACTGATATATTCTTCAACCCTAAAAAGTTTTGATATAACTTATTACTACAACTTGACACTTTGACACTTTTAATGCAATCATTGAAATCATCTAAGCTTAGTTAAGCTTATTACAAAGTTTAACACGTAACACGAACCGTTTCACAAGTAAAGCTTTCGTAGATAAACCTTTGCAAGAGTCTCCACGGCATTTCAACCAAAATCTTAATTCATTGTTCTTCAACTGCAGTGGTTTCCTTCCGTTTAAAGACGATCCAGGTACATCTTCTTCACTTAAAAAACACGGACCAAAAACAACAGGCAGAGATGACAACGCCGCCATTTTTCAAATACGGGCCCGACCGTCCTCGTTCTCATGTTTTTTGAATAAATTAGAACCCATTACCGCGCGGTTATTTTAAGTATTGCATGTCGTGTATAGTCTTTAATAAATATAATTTGGATAATTGTTAAGCAACACTGGTTGCTTATAGGACCACTGGGTCTGTGAATAGTCTTTAAGTATAATTTGGATAATTATGTTAAGCAACACTGGTTGCTTGAGGATCACTTGGTCCGTTAATAAGCTATAAGGATAATGAGGATAAGTTGTTAAGCGACACTCGGTGTAGATAGGACCACTGGGTCCGTGAATACTCTTTAAATACAATTATGATAATTTTGAAGCAACACTGGTTGCAGATAAGACCGCTGGGTTCGTTAATAAGTTACTGGGATAATTAATGAATACAT